ATGGTTGATTGCCTAACTGTACTGTATTGTCNCCTTGAGTACTTGTGCAAGCTCTCCGATTGAGTAACTTAGCGATCTGTGGGATTGCGAAACTGTGAGAGTTGTCGGATTGAGTGACTACTCAAGCTTTTTTGTAACTGCTCGTCCGGATGATTGATCCTAGCTCTCCTTTTATAATGGGAATGGTTTAACATCGCAGACAAATTGGTTTAACTACCAGACTAGAGGTTCTTTATAAAATTTCAACATTTGCATATAAGTTCTTTACAACATTCCGACAATTGCATATAAAATTGATTAACAGATTGGAAAAAGTCTACAATAATGAGTTTTGTCTGTAATATTTAAACATTGCAATTAAAATTGGAAGGGTTGGATTTGGATGAATGATTCATCATTTTGGATATCGAAATATTTATTTTTTGATTTTATGTAACTAATCATTTATCTGAGAAATGTTTTAAATTATAATTAAAACAATTATAACATTTTTTCAACTTCGCCGACAGGAAATAGAATAAAACAACATGATCACTGTATTATTTACACTACAACAGGACCGAAATTTTATGATCTAACATTTTTTATGGTTTATGATCTATAATTTTAAATAAAAATCAGATGTATTTTAACTCGTTAATTTGTTGTTGCAGAAACATTAACAAGTGAGTATCGGTTTATTGATAAAGGATCAAATGTAGGAGGAAGAAATAAAGGTATGTATAAAAGTCTAAATCATCTTGTATTTTTGCAACAGATGGCATTTCGTGTTAGTTTTAATTTCCTTTGTTTAATGCCAACAGCGTATTCCCAATAATAATTCTGGCCGATTAATGGAGGATACGAATACAATTTTGAAAGATATGGATTTTACACATCTGGACAATAAATTTTCGGTTGCAGTGGGAATACTAAACTATGATACTTATTTCTTTAATGTTTGAAATAAATTTTGCAAGTGTCGATTTTTTCACCCATATAAATATATAAGTGAGAAATAGGTGAAATTTCAAGTAGAATTAACTGTAATATCTTTTAAACAATTCTCGCGTGCTTTCGCGTTGGGTTGGTCTTCGATCTTTTTTAATCACCTTAATTTGCATGAATCCATTACTTCTCAATTCAGTTAAAAAGACATCAGTATTACACGGCTTCACGAAGAAGCTATCAGTTAAGGAAAAGAACCGATAAGTAATTTGTTTATCAAGAATAAATGGAATTTGACACCCTAGCATATTTATAGTGGCACTATACCTGCACTAGTGAAATATTCTTCCCAGTACTGCGATAAAAATGTGCCCAGAGAAACTATAAATAAACCTGAGCATCCCCACATCAGAATATTCCCGAAACAATAGCATATGCAGTAAGTTCCTCGTAACTCGAATCTTTCATGCGACATTACAGTCATGATATTATTGCAGTCGTGAAGAAAAAAGTGTATTACTTTCGTTACGTTTGGTATAAAGCGTGAAGCATTAATACAACTATAAAACAGAAATTTAATCTATTTAAAATTTCAAATCTTTCTCGAAATTCCAAGTTCGAAAAAATAGGAGAGAATGCTTTCAAACATACCTAACAATTAAATACCCGCTGATCAAAGAATAAACTACAAAAGCACTCAGTACACAAGATCTGAATCAAAAGTAAAATAAGTGATGAATGTAAATATATTAAAAATCAGAAGCCGAGAAAACTGGACCTCATTAATTTTTTTTATCCTCTTAAACAGTTGTTAAACGAATATATAACTTGTACAGACTAAGTGCAACTTATTAATGCTACATTGCCTGGATATAAAATTTCTAACAATATATCAAGTGGAAGTACACTGACATATTCAAGTATGATATCATTAAATGGTTCCAGTATTTCACATAAATAATTTAGGAGGAGGTTTTATTCTGAAAATAATTTAGAAATAGGACAAAAATCAACTAATTGACGAAATGCAAGACATTCCGATGTGCAAAAAAATAAAGTTGCCGCAGAAATTTTCAAAGCTAAAAATTTTGAGTGATGAAAACAGCAATGAATTAAATTACCAATTTGGTTGATACTGCGCAAGTGTACTATTCGGTTTAAACTGACACCAGCTTATATCCAGATTATCTTGAACGTAGAACATCGGATACAATACAAACAGACCTCCAATTAGCCCCAAAATCAACAGCCATATCCAAAATTTCAACAAACCAAGTCGACAACATAAATGCCATTGCAAACAATAAGCCCAAATAACACTAGTCCAAAACAGAAGCACATCAAGAAATACTGTACATCTGAAATATAAAATATATTTTAAAAAAGCAGAACGAATAAAAACTCCACTCAATATCTTTACTTGAAATATGCAAAAATTCAAGGGATGAAATTTTTGAGAATTATTAATCTTAAAAATGCATAATCATTCAAGGTATCATTTCTTCTGATGACAGATCTACTTATCAAATAGGAGACACGCACTCTGAAAAAAGCATAAAATTCCAAACTATTTCCTCAGTATATTCTTCACGTCATCCGTCAGCTGTCACAACTTGACTTCATATGTTTTTGGATAGAAAAGATTTAAATTTTCGAAAAAGAAAACTTTATTTCTAGAAAATCAATATTCATCGATATAAGTGACCTCCACAACATCATTAGCTCCACACTATCATTACGACCATATTTAAGCCAATTGAAATGCGCAGGAATAAATGTTTTACGAATGTTACCAACAAGAATCGCAAACGAAGTCATCATTTGTAAGATTTGCAACAGAAGTTCAACTGCACTGGAAATCGTTTTTTGCCTGAAAATGTAATAATATACAATTAAGATGTGTTTTCTGCTAGTAATTATATGCAACAAAAAAAAAGTTGTGCAGGAGATATGACTCGTTTATTTCGCCAACGTATAATCAGCAAAAACATACAATAACTTGAGCACAGAAATCAGCGGAAGCAGGAAATGAAGATGGTTAATACGTAATAATAAGATCTCTTTTATTTGTAAAGTAAACGTAAATGAAAGTTGCAAATAAATGCTATTTATTCCATTTGGAGTAGAAACATATCACGAAAGTAGAGGAAATGGGGTGGTTAAAGTAGAGGTGGTTACCTGTGAAATTTAAAATCGCGGAAATACAATATAATGAAGAACAAAAGAGTATAAAAAAATTCTTACCTCGCTTCGTATTTTGCAATGATAGCTAACTCAGCTCGTTTTCGAGCTTGTAGTCGTTTCTTCAGCACTCTCCGATCACGTTTCTGACGCAAGAGAATTTCTTTCGCACCAGTAAGATCTCTTTTATTTGTGAAATCGGGAGTGAGGACATCTATTCCATCTGATACAAAAACATATCATCATGGAAATCAAGACAATGTGTGGAAAAAGACAAATCACCAGGATATCAACAAATTTCAGTAGCTGGTCTATTTCGACAGGATTCAGAAGTCCGGAATTATATAAAAAAAGTTAGTGAAGGCGGAATAACAGCAGATTTACATAAAATTGAAGTTACCTTCTACAATTGATGAGTCGCACTCGCCATGAAAAAGTGGCAGATATCGACGTATTCGACCAGTCAATCCTACCTGACTTCCTGAGCCGGACCCTTTACCTGCCCCATCACTTTCCATTTCCATGGCATCACCTAAGGAACGTCGTTCTGTTCTAAAAATAATCCTGACACAGTATGAATGAAGAGCCATTTGAATTCTCTCATATGCACGCAAAATTTGGCGCCAAAATAATGAAGCATATGAAAAAACTCAGAAAAAATTAAGAATCAAAAAGTAGGACGGAAAATACAGGAAATATTGGGAGCGAAAGAAAAATATTAAAATTCTTGTGCTGTAAAATTAAATAGTGAAAAGTCTTACCTACAGGGAGCACAATATCTGCACTGTTTGAAATTTTTCAAAGGTTTTAAGATCGTATCAAAAATACAAAATCGATTCCAGCGTCCACATATGCATATATGCGAATCTGCTTCCCGATTTTGTCCGTTTCGTGATTTTGCTGCCTTCTTTTTAGGACGGGGCGGTGGTACGGGTGCTTCTACATGATTTAAAATGTTAGTTATGAATAACCGATTAATTTGTCGAAAAACTTGAAATTCATGTTCATAACATCTTTTAAAATAAACGTGCCCAACAATTAACATTTTTAGAGGAAAGAATGTGGAAAGAGGAGGAGGTAATGGGTAATGGGCATGCTATTGATTTTATAAGAGTCATGGAAAGAAATATGCTTAAAGTACAACCGGCTGTGTCAATTGTAACCATATCTAAACTGATGAATTAGATCTAAATAAAACAAAAAGAAAAAGAATGAATGACCATTATAATCACACTGTCTCAACATGTTGGCAGATGATGCTGTCGCTTCACACAGAAATATCTGTTTCATGCATTCATGTTCTTCTTCTCGCATTATTTCGGCCAGATTCTTTACACTGTTAATTTTTAGATTTCGAGAACTTAATTCTCTCGGTTCCACTCGTTCACTAAAACTTTTTATTTAAATCAATTTCACCGTCTTTATAAATTAAAATACATCCATACATTTTTAATCCATTTTATTATGTTATTAAATCATTCCACTGATTAGTTTTAAATCGCATTTCCGGAGTAGTGGTACAATACGATGGAAAAGTCTGAATTTTTAAATCTTCGATTAAGATAACTGAATGGTAAAGCGCAATAGATTCTTTCCCGAAACAGTATTCGAAAGGTTAAAGCATTACAGAAACCAACATTTCCAAAGCATCGATGTCTTGATCATCATCATTTGAGTTCTGCCCTTTTTGTTCTTCATCGGATGTCTCTGTTTCAATAATTCCATTAGGTTTTTGTTTTCTCTTTGATTTTTGCGGCTTTCCATACTCAAGCATATAAACTTCCTGAAATAATCTTATTGGTTACACAAAATATTCGTGACTGGATGTATCATTCAATTTGAAATTTTGGGAATTTTTGGAAAAATAGGTGTTTTAAAACTGTGAAAAATATATCAGTTATTGGTATGAATTTTTTGGAAAATTTCAATCCGAAATCTAAAATCCCACCTTATATGTATTATTGGAATAAACAGTAATTCGTTTACGGATCAGATTGCACCAAATAATCAAATAATTCTTAGTTCGCAATGGTTTAAAGCATATACAAAGAATTAGATGCATCCAGAACCATAATAAATCATAACTTTTCCACAATACAAAGTAGACACAATTTACATATATAGACGTAAACCAATTGAAATGGGCCAAAAGTGCTAACGTAAAACGATATGCGCACCAGAACAGAAAGCAACACCAATGCATCCTTTTACCCTCAAACACCAAACACTGGTCAAAATACTCTTGTAGCAAATAAATCCATATATTCTATTTAAAATGGGAACGTATTTGCGCCCAAATATGAATAACGTCATCTGAGTGCAGCATAGCAGAAATCGTAGAAATCTAAATACAGATAACTGTACAAATTAAACAAAACTGAAGAGTAAGGAACAAAAGATAAGCAATTTAGAATTTCGACGACATAAACGTTCATAACGTATCATTCTTTAACTGACACGATGTGAATGTTGTCTAAATCTACTATCAGCTACCATGTCTAAATTAGTTACAGTGAACTATATGACAACGCGGTGAAAATAAAAAATCATTAACAAAAAAATAAGCAAGTGTGCTTCCAGTACCTGTAATGATTTACAAAATTTTATAAATTGCTCATTCTAATAAAATTCCTTTATGGCTTGGATATATGAAATGTTAAAATGAATAGCATATCAAAAGGCCATTCATTGATCGTAACATAATTGTACGATTTCGTTACTTTGTGATAAATACCATACGACTTTGTGATATTTATTGTCGTCAATATTTAGCAAATAATCCAAATATATTTTTAAAGTTGCACTTGAAAGTTACCATAAATATGGCTTTATTATTTTAGGACATTATTGCCGCGACACTTGACATATTATCAAACTGGCTCGTTAGAGTTGTACTTGAAAGTACTTTCATACAACTTTCCATTTTAGTGTCACACCAAATCATATTTGCTTGGCTATTACTTCTATGTCGATCATTTGTCAAGTAAGATTGGGCGTGACATCAAAATCAGAGTTTATATGAAATAACCTGCTCAATTATTCTAAAGCATCTCCAGAGCATCAACTCGTAAAGTAAACAAACCGCTGTGATACAGCAGAAATCGAAAATAGTGATCACCAAATACCAGAAGAACTAAAAGAACGAAATATTTTCAACATATTTCCGTAATTGGTGGCAGGATTGTTTCAAATACTGCTTTGAGGACGGAAGTTGTTCTCAGTAGCGAGACGGATGATATTATTTGATAGATCTCACTAACTTCTTGGAGTTGCAAACTTTTTACGTGAGCAAACTTTCACGATGAGCACGTCAAACCCAGTCGATTTGTGGAAACACTCTTTGTTGAATAGTAAAGTACCGTCTGCGGGATCTGACGTCAGGTAATATTTCTACCATTCCTTCACTGCATGCTAGTAGATGTGGATGTTTGATGTAAATAACCATGTCAGTTTTTTGTATTGATGTCGCATTTTTTCTCTTTTTTCTTATAAATAGATTATAGTGTGCAAAGTGTGAAATTAGATGGAGCACTTCGGAGAATAGTTCTATATCATGGATACAGCTATGAAATAGTTTCACGTATTTTATGTGAAAAGGAAACTGAAGATCTAACTAGTTCACTCATCTGTATTTCGGGCAAATCATTTTCAGTACAACGTCATTATTTCTTACTTCGCCTGTAATTTCATCGTTTTCGGGTGATGCAAATTATTTGCGAAAAATTTTCAAAGCATGGCCAATTGATATGGAAAAAAAGGCTGTGTTTTGGCCAGCACATGCCACATTCATAGCTTGCGGTACCGCTGGTATTGTAATCGGTAAGTCTTTGACTTAACAGTAGCATCTGAAATACAGCTATGCAATATGGCTTACATGACTTTTGGTGGATACTGCTTTATACTTTGGTCTGTTAATCTTTGTAGATAAAAACTTCTGCACTGTTTTAGAATTGGCACAAGATATTGTACTATATAATTCCGAAAATAACTGTACTTAAAAGATCAAGTGCATTGGTTTTTTAACTATTTTGATTCGCTCGCTAGTGTAATTCTCGAATCAGCTTTTTGATATTGGTATAGCATTCATGTTTATTTGACCACCCTATGACAGTCTGATGCACTGAAGAAACCGGAGTGGTTTGCTGGTAATTTAGTATACAACATGCATTTCAGGGATTCGTGTCAATTCCCATACTTTCCTTGGGAATGCAAATTATTCATACGCTGAAAGTTTGCGGAAATGTCCAAAATTAACTTGGTTGATTGCTCTCTACAGCTCTGCCCTTTTTTATTTTGGCGTTAATGAAAATACTGTTTCTAGATATTTGTACAGGTGAAAATTGAACTTAAATTAATTATGTGGGAAAATACTGTTTCTTTAGAAGTTTGTAGGCAAAGAGCAGAGTTAAACTGGTACGATTTTGCTACAGAGAAGAATTTAAATGAATTGTGCTTATTTGGTAGTAAAAGGCAACCAGAAGTACAGAAGGACTTGTGTTTTATCACTCCATTTTGATTTTTTCCGATTTCTAATAAATTTAAATTTTAGTCACGGTGATCTTTGCAACACGTGTTTAGTTCTGGGCAATATACTAACTGCATTGTTAAGTGGAATCTGTTTTCCAATGCTTTCCTCACCCTATTTGACAGCAGCTGCAGTAAGTATTTCTATACTTCTTTCGATTATTTCTGAATTTTTAGGTAACAGTGAATTCTCTGAAGTACTGTTATTATATCCTAGGCTATACTTCAAGGAGATGATAACGCAATACCAAAACTAAGGAAAACTAACACTTGGCTCAGTTATATATTTCGGTGGAAAGTTGGTGTTAATGCCTGTCGGAGAATTCTGTTACCAATGACTCTTGGATTGAGCGCTGTTTCAGGTGCTTCCATGTATATTCGCCTCTGGGGCAGACAGAGGTTATACTTTTATTAGTGATGTTCAAAGTCATTCATACACATTTAGATCTGAAATAATGGCATGCAATAAAGTTTCAGCAATAAAAGGCTTCTTTTTCATGACACTAGAAGGAAGTCTTTTATTTCTTTATGCTTATCTTGAGATAATTGGAGCAGTATACCACTGATAAAAATTTTAGACCAAGAATTAGAATGGTTTCAGGATTATGGATACACTTTCTGTGGAGCCAGAATTTGTTGCGGAAGTGGATGAAGGTTAATATTCAACGGTTATATATTAGTCAAATGCTTGAAATTTAGGGTTTAACTTTGAGATTTTATTGTCAATTCAGATATAAGATTTTCAAACATTTCATCTACAGATTTCACGGCGAGATATCAGTATATGATTTAAATTCGTCTGGTCTGTTTCATAAATGAACAGCTTTGTCGAATTCTTTGGTAATGGGTAGTTTACGAAACTCCATTTCTGAATTCTTAGTTACCTATTAAGTGGTAGAGCCATGCACGTCAAGTATAAACCGCATTAAATTAGTCATTTTAAAAACTGAGATAATCCAGGAATTCAAATTATGTCTAACAGTGAAAATAGTGAGTGATGAAAATTTTTGTTGACAAATTTTTAATTTTTTAATATAATTTAGGAAATCGAGTGCTTTAATTCTTATGCTGGAAATTTAGCCACATAATTCGTGAAACGCTAAGAATCATCTCAGCTTGAATTAAGTACACTTAGACATTGAAATATTAAACTACGGAAAACTTTGCAGCAGTAAATTCTTGACGTTTAGAAATAATTTGGACAAAAAATTTTCTAAAAAGTTGGTGTTTTAATGTTTCATTCATAGCCTTGCTTTGCAAACGGTCTTAAGCTGATATAACTTTTTTTGTTCAGTTACGATATATGTTATTGCTTGTTCTCTCATTTAGTCATATTTTTTTGAAGGAGAAAATGTTAATTTATGAAAAATTTTTGTATTCTTTAGATCGTTAATTTTTATTTCTCTATTAGCTACATCTATTAGCTTTAGGCACATACTCGAATTTTATTTTGGTTTTCTTAATTTCATATTTGAATAAATTTTGAATAATCATGGTTGTTATTTCGTTTCACTTTGTATCCAATTCAGGACACACATTGAGTCACTGCAGAGAAGTTTTTCAACATTTTGCATTCCCAGCTAATTTGCTACGGAATTAATTGCAACAAAGTTGCAATTTTCACTTTACTTCAACCTCAAACTTGGGTAATTAAGCCAGCTAGATAAAAGCAATATTAACGTCATATAATCGAAAATTAACGTGTAAAGATAGAATCCAAAAAATTATCACGAGATAAATCCACAGATAGCAATAAAAAACAAAGAATATTATCCTAATGTGTGAAGGCTATATGCATATGGTTCAATAATTAACGCCTTTAACAGCGCATAGCAATTAGCATATTGATCTAACATAAATACAAATTCTCCAAATCCATTCATGATTCATTTTTCTCTTTCATGGCATCATGTATTTTTTCATTGTTGATTTTAGTTTTTTTTTTTAGGAAGGTTTTTGAGAATTTCGTTTGAAATTGTACTGATTCAATATTTATTGGGGGTTGAGTTGACGGCTATTTTCCCGCATATTAAAGCATTTATCGCTTCTCTCTGGAATACGTCTACTATAGGTTTTTAGTTTGTAACAGACGAATGCAGGGGGAAATGAAATGCAATAAGTTTTCTATGCATATTACAAAATACATGATAAATCTGTAATGTAGTGAAGTAAATTTTCGTTTGTGTAGAATACGGTAATACTATATTTTTGCATTGCGGTAATTTTGCTTTCAAACTGTTACGAGACCGAGAATCTATGGAAACTGAAGTATTCATTTGGAAAACATGGATTTGATAGAAATGCATCACTGCATGATGTCAAAAAGCCAAAAAGAACGACTTTATGGATACCAATCATTCATTTTTATCTGTAGAAACTCATAAAAGACTTAAATGAAAGATGATTTCCGTAGAAATTTCATGAAATTTTTTTCTCAACTTTCAAGAAATATCAAATTCGGCATGGATCTTGCAGTTCAGTTATGAAGTTTTGGATTATAACTGGACGCAAAGCAGTATATGTGTCAAGCACTTTTCTGGAATGTTGTTAACAGCGTATCATCGGTGAGAAATAATTAGCAGAAAGATAAAGTTGGGTAGAATTATTCACGTGAGCGATTGATTGCATTAACATTAAAAGCCGCGACTGAGTAGAAATCATCTCTTCACCAGACTTCCAAAAATAATCAGATCTAAGATAATGAAAGAATTACTTGCGAAGTTTTATGTCTGATTATGTAACAATGAAATCAACAAAAGATGGAACAGAGAGGAGTCGAACTTTTGTTGTTGTCTCCAGATCTGACCATTTGCTACTCTTGCAAAAATAATCGAGAAGGAACAATAACTAACAACCTCATGGGTAAGTAGATAAGTTTTTGTACTTTGAGAATCATAATCATAGATGGAGAAAATTAAGATTTTCAGTAGTTTGAGGGTTGAGAAGCATACATATAAAAAGCTTCTATATAAAAAGACCCATATCCACTTCATTAGATGTAATTAAGAACTCAAATTTTGTCATCTCATTTTCCAATTAATGCTATATTATTGAAGTCTGTTTTCGAATTTACAAACAATAAATAAAAACATAGAAAATGCATCTGTTATTGATCACCGATGGTAATACTGCTATCTGTCTTGGCTGATTCAACTTTGCTTTTTAAATAGAATGTCGTAATCGATTCAATTTTCTTTATTTTTGCAGTATACATATCATAAAAACCACTGAGATAAGCAACGAAATTAAGATAAAACCTTGCGTGCAGTGACGCAAGCTGCAGGGAATGAGTTTATGAGATATCGTTGATTCATTTTTTGGATTCGTGCTCAATAACTTCCGCCTTGCTTCGTCCAGCTCAACTACCATTCCAAACAACATGACAACTTTCTTCCTCCGATCACAATATTCAGTATGCCACAAACATTATCAGATTCACATTGTATCATCCATCCTTTGTCATTTTTTCCCAATGCTGAAGATATTTTCCATGTCGTATTACCAACACAATGTTATTTCATTCTGTAAAATGAAAAATGATTACTGCTGATTCCGGATACATCGACATATGACACTCAGATTCACAAAGCAGCAAAGTTACAAATTTGAATCTTTTATTATTGCAGTAAAACATATCCATGTACTAGGACCGTTTCAAATTTGTTCCAAATTTCAAAGAAAATGTAAGCAAAAAGAATCTATTAAAATATAAGATGAAGAAACAAATGCTAAATCCCCTTTTTTATGGATTGACAGCCTACCAAAACTGCGTGAACAAAAAAGGATAAAATTTTGGATTCCATTTCTTGTCAAATTCGCCTTGGCCTCCAATCTTTTTGTTCAGAATTTCTGCTGAAGTTGTAAATTGTTCCTCCCTTGCAACGATATCCAGGGGACGATTAAAAGGTAACAAGTCCCAAGATTTTCTTCACGAAAAATTCGAAACATTCTAAAAGAGGTTCTGGAAAGAAAAAGTTAATTACCAATCCAACTTTAATTTATTTCCACCGATTTAATTGCCTTCAAACAAATTCATGCAATATGCAATTGCGGCATAGAAAAGTATACTTCAATGATAGAAATAGAAAAGTATACTTCAGTGGAAGCAAGTTCAACAACAGTTATTCCTTTTCTAAACAACTAACAGAAAAGCCCGCACAACCAATAGTAACAAAAAAAATTTCTGGTGGATGACAATGTTCATTGGAACACCGTAGTGTGCACAAGAGATTCGTCCAGTTGTCATCCCTGGAAACACACAACGGATGTTTCAAAACTTCAGGTTGCGCAGTTGTCAGTACCCTCATTGGTGATTTGTGTTAGTCGCAACGAAGACGGATAATCAAGTTTTGTGTGAAACCTAACGCACAACTCTATTCTGAGGTAACAAATTCTTATAGATCTCCAAACATCTACTAAATGCCACAGGAATTTACAGTGTTTAAAAACCGTACGATAAAAATCAAGAGTGAGCATCATTTCAGCACAAATGCATACCAAACAAGCCTTCAACAAACTTATTTTCTCCAACTGGTCGAACTTCCTCTGGTACCAAAACCACTTTAACGGTCGCGACCATACGCAAGGTCTGAAAACCGATGTTTTATAATAACTACCCTGGAATCTTCACTTTTCCATGGTCCTTGCATTCTTCAGAATCCATTTCAGCATTTTTAAACTCCCAATATAGCAATTGATCCAGCATAGGAAAAAAATCTGGTCTATGAATTATGTGTATTGTACAGCAATAGATACACTTCAAAGCGGCTGTAGAAATGAAAAAGCGTTGTCATGGACTAGGCAATATTTCAACTTCCCTTGCCTAGAACTTCTCACCCAAAGTCCCATGAAAATAGTTCAAGCTGAACAGATTGCGAAGACAAGGCCAAAAAACGGAAGAAGTAATTTACCGCTCCATATCCAGCCAAATAAAACTACATATATCTAGTATAAAAACCTGTAGCAAATATGATAGGGTTATCAAAGAACACAAAAGATGCACGTGAAAATGACTACCATGTAAGAAAATCATTTTTAAAAAAAAGCTGGAAAGAACGGATGCTAATTAGAAATACTGAACATCTCAACCTGATTCTGTCAATTCTTTTCTTGACTTCTATTGTGTGGATTACCAAATTTCCCAGAGATGCTTTGCAATCATTTCCCGTTTTATTGTCATCATTAATTAATTACTTCATCTCCTAACTGCCAAAACGGGCTAAAGCAAGGCAAGCAGCATTACTGGTAAAATTTCAGAAGCAGATTAGCCAGCTATTCAGTGAACTGGTATCATAACTAAAAACTGCAATTACTATGACGTTTAGTACAGCTATTTGATACAAGCTGTTAATATCATTATCATATCATACAGGCATGTGATTTGAACTCCTGATACTTCTTGATAGATTCGAAATAATAATCTCTCATAAACAAATTGCTATATTACCATTCCAAAATCAAATTTTAGAGTGGAGATTGCTTCGAAATAACTTGATAGTACAGTGTCGGCAAAAAAAATACTCGATTGAATGGTTTCTCACATTTTTCTTGGAATCAAATTTCCAACATACCTTGACAACATAACAAAATATCAAAATTTTTTCGTATTGAAACAGCAAGCAAGTTTTGGACGGTATTTTTCTTCGATTCCTGCCAGGTCTCTCTCTCTCTCTCTCTCTCTCTTTCTTCCCCTCTGGAGAGAAATTTTGCATTTCAGCAGCACCCTCTCTTTCCTGATAATAATGTGCTTTAAACCACTCTCAAAACCTAAATCTTTATACCGCATACCTTGCTTAATCCTAAGCATGTAGTCTTCCAGTTAATCTAATCACTAGCTTTACTCTAAACTAGCATACATCTATTAATTATATATTATTTCTAAACAGCCAAAAAAACTTTTAAATAAATTCGAAGAAATCTAAGGCTGCAAATGCAATAAGCATTCGATTACTTATGCATTTTGCCGCAGTACAAAATTTCAGAGCAGCTTTCATAATATTTAGCAGTTAAAACTGTTATGCAAAAAAGACCAAAAAATTGTCGAAAGCTGCAGTGTGGGAACTTCTGAAAAGGGAAACCGGCGAAAAGAAAAATCAAAGCACCGAAAAAATTATGCAAAATCGCCACTGCCACCGCTGCTAACTGAACTTAGAGTTAGTTATATTTTTTAAAAGTTGTTAATTAAAAAATGGCACAAAGGTCCACCCTCATTTTATGGTTAAAGCACATTGCCCAAAGCGACAAAGCATATGGAAAGATCGGAGTAGGAAAGACGGTTTAAAAAAAATCATCTTCTACGGCCAAATATATTCTATTATTACTTCACCTTTTTGAGGTACTTTTGATTTTCAAGCACTATTCCCAAAATAAGGAACGAGTTTGAGCGAGCTGATGCTGTTGGTGTATTGATACTACTAACGTATGAAATAAACTTCTCAAAATTAATTTCAAATTCCTGAAAAATTTCTTTCATTCATAGCCTAAAAATTGGAATGTGAAGTGGAAGGGAAAAAAGCCGCCTGCCACTATGCTTGTTAAGGTGAAGAAAAAATTCTTAACTACATACACATACACAAAATGAAAAACATCGAAATAATGAAAAATGACTATTTGTGAAAAAAAAATCATTCAGAAAAATGAATTTTAGAAAAGCCAAAATGAAAAATGAAAAGAAAAACAACACTGAATACGTCTGAACATCACCGTCATCAAAAAGGATCACAGAATGCAGCACAAACCGCGCGTGTAACGAGAGATACGTATATATGACATGAAAGAGATTGTTGGTATTGTCGTTGTTGTTGTTGTTGTTGTTGATTTCTGTGACAGTAATAGTAATAGTAGAAATAATGATAATAATAGTACAATAGTAATAGCAACAGTAATAGGGTGGTTTGGTAGTATTGGATAGTGCAACTTTTTTTTTTGCAGTACCATTAGAAACGTGGAGGAATCTGGCCACTAACTGAAAAGTAAAGCAAAATATTAGCATTTTGGCTTGAAGCAGCGATAGCGGCATGCGTAAGTTTTCTTCCTTAATTTTGAAGAGAAATGGTCAAAAATGATCTGATACCATTATTACTATAGAGACATAAACTTTTTTAACTTAACTGCTGTTCCTCCAATTATCTATCACCCTTATTTTACCCACTGAAAAGGCCCAACTAACGAAGAGATGAGTGAGCAGACATAAATAATCGAATAACAAAGAACTAATTTCTTTTCTGATCACACAAGGATATTTATGTTTATATTAGACATTCTGGACAGAACATCATCAGCTATCAAATTCCATTATAAGCCTTAGAGTATAATGAAATCATAATAAGATGTGTGACTCTGCCTTTCGGAGAAAGATAAAATTTTTTGAAGTCAAATCGTGAAACGAATAATATTTTCGTTGCATAGGGAAAAGTGTGGATGAAATGATTGTTAGGAAAGGAAGAATTTATCATCAAACTATTTTAATTATTGGCAGTAACAAATTGGGAGAAAAAAAGTGCAGCAGCGACAAACCATTTTGTGCAGTACAGTGCATCCAAAAAGCATAAGCTTTTCATCCCATTTGCGACAGTGAAACGAAAATCAGGGATACGTGACAGAAGTGTTACCGCTCAATGGGATAACACTTGTTCCCAGTTTGTGGTAATCAAATTCGATTTGACCACTAGCATCGGAAAAAGGTGGGACATACCATTAGTGTTGCCAAATGTTGCTAAGTCATTCGGAACACCAACAGTAAAACTAATGTTGAAAGTGAACGGAATAAATTAATGGTCAGCAATATGAAAAGAGCGATCGTTCCCGTGTGCGATCATATTACCATCACAACTGCACAGTTCTGATCACTCTGGTGACCAGATTTCGGGAAATTTGAAGTGCTAACGGTTAAAAAAAAAAAAGAGTACACTTACATGACACAGTTGGCATATAGCCGATACCGGGAATCAAATACGGATTGAAGGTAGCTTGTGGCATCTGAGCCGCAGCAGCAAGTTGGGCTGTAGCACCATTTGCATACACTGGTACACCACCTTTTTCAGCAGCTGGACGTTTACATGGGACAGCACCTGCCTGGAACCACACATGCATTTTTCATACTAAGGTTAGTAATGCGCTGGGAGATGAAAGGCTATGAACAATTGAAAAATTAAAAAAAAACAAAAGTTAGCTTGAAAAAACGAAGCAGTTTGGTGGTGGCGGAGCAAAAAGTTCTCTTCCTTGGTAGCTTTTCATGCTTTAAGGCACACAACATGTAACAAAGTATCTTGTGAGAAGGCGAGAAAAAACAAGGAAGGAACTCTAGAATTAACGTTGGAAACATCAAATAAATTTAAATGAAATGAAATTTAAGTTAAATTTCAACGAAAACAAACAAAATTAAGGCGTAAAAACAAAAAGGAAATAGAAAACTAAAAAGAAGGTACCAATGCACTTCAGTGGAAAATTGGTACCATCGGTACCGGGAAACCGTAGAGGAGGTATGATTTCTTTGGGGCGACACTCTGAAAAAACGATGCGTGTGTGTGTGTGTGTAAGAAAGAAACAAACAGAAAATTGGTACCGCAGCAGCAGCAGCAAGGAGAAAGGAATTCTGATCGAATTGTTGCGACGTTGATGGCCCAACAGCGGCAGCCGCAGCAGCAGCAGCTTGTTCCTCCTCCAAGGCACGTTTCCGGCTATTCTGTAGCGTTGCTCCGGTAGTAACAGTTCCGGTCGATCCAGCTGCAGCCGCGGCAGCCGCGGCAGCAGCAGCCGCAGCTAACGATGGTGGTAATGTTGCGGTAGCTGGAGTCAACTGTGGTGGTAACGTAGTAGTGGTAGCAGCAGCCGTAGCTGCTTGCGACATAGCAGCAAGATTTTGAAGCGCCATCAGCTGGGCTTGAACTTGCTGGAAGGGAAATATTCGCAATGGATGATGAACAGCCGCATTAAGCCATGCAATAATCATACACACACGTACACATTCCACGCATACTCACGCACGCACACTCACACATCTATTTAAGAAGCCACCACACAAAAAATAAAAAATTTTCACATCAAAAACAGTTTGGCGTGCATATTTCATTTCTTTTAATTGGTTCCCCTATAAATTATTAATCTTTTTACTGTCTCCCTTACTTAATGACTGGGAAAAGTAGTGAGAGGATGAGACACACTTCACGTACGTCACTGTTAAGGTTAACTTGGACAAAGAGGAGAAGAAGGAGGATTTGTACGCACTTCCCACTGCAACAAGCAGTAGTAGGCGATCGAGATGAACAATTCAATTAGCTAAAAGGAAATACTGAATAGCATATTATTCACTTATATCTCCCTTAACAAATTCAATCGACTATCGCTATCTCTATCAAGGAAGATATTGTATGCCTTCGTCAATGATCAGTAAAGGTCTGCATCTGTCTGATTGGTTGGTTTGAGATTCGGATAGATGTATTATGCTAGCTTCATCGTTTCTCCGTACACATGATATAGATCGATTAGAGACGTTGCAGGTTTTGAATTTATTAAAGTAGCAGTAGCGAATTCAGAAAGAGTAACATCAATGAAGTGCGAGCGCAAGCATTACCCGAATTTCCAGCACAAATAATAAACTCCACCAGTGCTGCATTTTTCCCTTTTTAAAATGCGCAATTTAACCTCATCCTCAATCCTGTTTAGTTGACACAACCCAGGCGGAACACAGTTCGGGCTAATGTATGTTTTTGCTTATGTTATCAATGATTTCGCTAGACAAATCATTGCCATTCTCGTAGTTTGGATATCTTAAAATTCGTGTATTAGCCCTCCGGCAATTTACCATCTTTATTCAAACAGTAGAGAGGAATTTTTATTGCGGTACTATTGGCGTTATGTCATCAAATATTTTTGCACATTTAAAACAGAAATCCTAGGGTGAACTTATTCCACACGATGCGAGAAGGCTGCTGTAGCTGGCAAATCGGTTCAGGTTACATTATTATTAACTATTACCTACTATTATTAATAATTATTAATTATTGTATATTATTGTCAATTATCATCAATTATTATTATTAATAATAATTATTATTGAGTGACTTGAATGAATGAATGAATGAAATGAATCATGCTTCAAGCAGTTTGTTTCGAATATATCATAGAAGCATCTTGCTTAAAAAATGCATCCATTTTACGTGGAATTTACACGTTTCCATGGCGAGAAAATGGATGAGTCAGTGATAATGATCGATTCTATATTAAAAAAATAGTAGCAGCGACATATAATAGAGGGCTTAGAAGCAATAGAAAAAGTAAAAAAATTGACACGCAAAAAAAAAAGAGATTTGGAGAGAAAAACACAAAGTTTTTGGTGGAGCTCACAGTACACAAAAGCGAGGCGGTAAATCCGCAGTTCTGATTTGAGACATGACAACTTTTGTCTTGATATGAAGGGGAGGTAAGAGAAGGAGCGGGAATTTTGAGTAGTGGAAAGGACTGATAAATATGAGAAACATTCCGACACTTGCATGCACGCATTAATTCTGGTTATCTCAGTAATTTACGGAGGTAAGGTTGGGATGCACGCGTGTTACCCAACTCCCAGCAATCTAAACTTAGACTACAATTCGTATCTAGCACAGAATGTTATTTGATTTCATTTATAAACCTTATATCTTAAGAGAGTAGATAAAACTATCAGGGCATATATTACTACAATAACGCCACTAGGCTAATCATTACTATCAAATTGCTACTTACTGTTGGGTATGTAGTTAACGCGCATACAAGTGTCGGGCCTATTTGTTCTGGAAATCTTGCTCCTAGAAAGTTCTGCCATATCCAGAGATTGCAAATTCCCAAAAGAATTACTCTTGTGGTAGCTTCTTTGACATTCGTTCTCAACCGAAGTTCTTGAGGATTCAAAAATATCATTAGGATAGAAATAAAATAACATTTGTTAAGCATCATTAATGCCAATATGTACAGATTTACTTTCGTTAACTCTATTTTAAAAGAAAAAAAATTATTCAAGGAAGATCAGAGGAGGAAATAAATAAATAAATACTAACCGCTTGGTAAGCAGCTGCAGCATCATTGCTTGCAACAGGCACAAGTGTTGGATACATGGTGGTGATACCCTGATAATACTGATAAGGAAGTGCAGCTGGAACTAAGGTTGCAGCCTGGGCAGCAGCTGCAGCGGCGGCCTGCTGCTGCTGTTGCTGCACGATGAGAAGCTGGTCGTTGAGTGCTGCGGGACTAGCTTGACCACTGACGACCAATTGCGCTAATGGATTCATTGTTGAAAGTGCAGCAGGAGCTGCCGCTGCTGCATTCTGATTCAATTGCGTACAAATCAAATTTTTGAGAGCCAGATTATTCCGACCATTTATCAATAACTGATCCTTCAGATGCTGTGGCGGATGCAAGTACTTGCATTTTGGGTTTTCTCGCGTGCATCGACCCTATAATAAAAAGATAATCTTTTTTAACTCACTTGAAGGGTTATCGAAGTAATGAATTAGCTAAACGACAACTATGTGACAACTCTTAAACTAGACTCTACAGGCCAAGGCTTCAGCTTCATAATATCAGATCCGTAGAAAAAGAAAAGGGTAGAATTAGTTCGGTAAGGTGAAAATAATTTATTCCTCGCTTAGCGGAAGAATTTATGCGAGCAACAATCAGTTAACCTATTATATTTAAATTCCTGTTTCCACGGGTACTAATGAAATTATAAATGGCGAAATACAAAATCCCTGTGTTTACGCTTGAAAAGCCATAGTAACAAAACTAAACAACAAGAAACACTACAAATTTGCGGAACGAATTGAGCAATCGGTGAGTAAATTA